TTTTCACTTAAATTGTCAAGACCATTTTCAAATGTGCTAATTTAATTCTAGGATCAAATATAGCACCTAAACAATAAAGAAAAGGAACGGGTCTCCAATATTTCAAAAAAAAATTTTCCATTACCTTTATTGGTGCATGTAAAATTTCATCATCTTTGTTTTTTGTAAATAACTCGGAAATTTTTATAATTGCATGTATTACCAATGGACTAGTAGGGTATACACACCAGAAAGTTGTAAAGTGGCTTGGTAAAAACATTTGAGAAAAGAATGAAATACTTTAGCTATCTTCCAATCATTTTCTACCAAATGATGAGGACCTCTATTATTTGCTACAAAATAACTAATTATATTAGCATAAGGTAAACATGAATCAACATTAAATAAGTACTATTCCACTAACAGCATACCTAATGCAAAAGTTCTAGGAGACATATTTGATTTTATCACACTCTTGAAATTCACATTTCTTTTATTACTACTAGTAATCCAAGCTAAAGATTCCCTAATTCTATCAATATTTTTTTTAATTGTTTTCATACCACTTTTCACAATTAAATTAATAACATGACATGCACAACGTTGGTGAAAAAACTTCAAATTATTATATAAAGATAATTATTTGAAAAAATTCTATAGCTTTACTATTAGAACTTGCATTATCTAAAGTTAAACTATATCACTTTAATCAATATATCATAATCTTCTAAAACTTCAATAATTTTATTATAGATTTCTAAACCACTATGATCCACATCCATTAATCTAAATCCTAATAAAGATTTATTTATTTAAATTCATTATCAAAATAATGACTAATCACACAATATAATCTTGTTTAGCTCTACCCCCCCAAATATCAGCAGTTAAAGCCACACTAATATATGCAAGTATGAATTTATTTTTTAATTCTATTTCATTTTAAACAATTTTATTAAATCATTTCTAGTTGCAGTTTTAGAAAACTTTTAAATCCTGGAAGAAATGAATTTTGAACAAATCTTTCAAAATATTTATCTTCTGCCATATTAATAGGTTGATCAGATGCAGCAATAATAAAGCTAACTGTTCCCTATATACATCAAATTATAACGCCAAGTAGTACCCATATTAGTTATTTGAGTTGATTGGTTTCTCTTTCCATTTGATTAATAGGTTTATTAGCATGCCTTTTTAAAGTACTAGTACCATTACCTGAATCAGCTTTATAAACATTTGCACAATATTTGCATCTTGCTTTCTTGACTTGAACGCCATTTTCTGTCTCATAAAACTTGTCGAAATGCGCCCAAACGTCTGATGTGTGTCTGTTTCGCTTTCGACGGCAGTTGATGATCCCCCTCAGCTTGAGATGAAGTTGGACGGGACGACGATTACGAGGACGACTTCTAGAACCACCGGGCGCTGTTGGAATCGACGCCATATTTTGAGGTGTATCGGATTCTGAGACTGGGATTGGGACAGCGGGACTATTGAATCTCCTGCATTCATAGTAAAATCAGCGGACTAGGACTAGGATAATAGTTTTCTTCCTCATTGAAATTGATGGAGAGAAATATCTATCCATTGTAGACTTGTAGTTGAAAAAAAAAAGATGTAGAAGAAATAAAAAAAGAAAGAGATTTGGAATTGAAATTGGAAATATGAATTGAAAATTGCAAAACCTAATAAAAAATTAAAATAAAAGCAAATTGATAACAAAAATATAAGAGAATAAATGAATAATTGAGACTTGAGAGTTGAGAGAATAGAGAATATGAAGAATGGAGAATTTGAGTTGTGAGAAAAATATGAGATTTTAGGTCAATTTATAGAAAAAAATAGGGAAAGAAAATGACGAAAAAGACCCCTCCAACCTATAAAACGGCTATATTCAGGTAAAAGTGTAATTGAAAAAAATAAAAAATATTAATAATTTTTTTTTTTTTTTTTGGGCCAACCCGCGGGTTGGCCGTTGGCAACAGCCACCCCCACAACCCCCGGTTGCGGGCCTCTTCGAAAGAGGCCAAATACAACCCAGCGGCCGCAGGTTACCATAGTGTAACCCGGCCCGCCCGGTGGTGGCTGACGGGTTGGGCTCAACCCGGCCCGCCATGAAGGCGGCCGGTTTGAGCCCTCTTTTTTGCGGGCCGGGTTAGGTTGGCCCGCCTAACCCGGCCCATATTTTCCACCTCTATTAATCACACATATGTATTGATCATATATTACAATAATTTTCATTTCACTATAAATTTATGCGCGTTGATATAAATATATATGTAAACATTTAAAATATTTAGGATAATTATGTAATGATAATAATATATATGTAAACAAATTCTTTTTGTTTGTGTCATGTTTGATATGGAACTAAATTTGTTTTGAATGATTTTTGTTCTGTTTAATTTATTTTGAAATTTTATTATTTATGATGTTAGTTATTTTAATTTCACTGAGTTTTTATTGATTTGTTTAAAATAAATATAGATGAGAGTTGGTTTATTTTCAAATTTGAATTAAATGGTTATGATTATAATTGTTGCATATTTTTTTTTTTAGAGCATCAATTGGAAAGTTGGGTTATTTTTTATTCGAACAGTATTCTAACGAGTTATTCGAACTATTATTTACAAGTTATCGAACGAGTTATTCGAACAGGTATTTAAAATTATCGAACGAGTTAGTCGAACAAGTTAGTCGAACGAACACAACGAGTTATGAACGAACGCGAACGAGCTTTTTGTTAATCGAACGAACACGAACACACATCCTGTGTTCGTTCGAACACGAACACACCATGACCATCAACATGCTTATCGAACAATTTTCGAACGGGCCTGTTCGTTCATGTTCGGTTCGATTGCAGGCCTAGTTATATATAAATACCGAAGTAATGTTATTTTATATTATTTAATTACCATATTTGATTGTTAAGTATTAAGATTTCGATATTTAAATATTAATAATAGTTAATGTTAGTAATAGGAGTAATCTAATTATCTCTATTTTCTTAGGTATTTTAAGATTATTTGATTATCTTATTTTTATTATAATTTTATCTCTTATTATAAAATTTTAGGACAATAATATCCTTTTTTTAAAAACAATTTACAAAATACAAATTAACTATTTTATCCTATATACAAAGTTTTAGGACATAAATACCTCTAAAATTGAAAAAAAAAATTACTCAAAGGTGGTGGTTGGATTTGGCCACCACCGCCATCAGTAAAAAAACATTGCAGATTACGACTATTTTACGGCAAAGATATGACCATAAAACGACCACAAATCTAGCCGTGAAAGCCAAATATTTAGTTGTGAAACACCATTGTTTCACAACCAAATCTCCACTTTCACCGCATCAACGTTGGTAGGCACCGAGAGTGGTTGGGGTGATGAGTATTTTTGTTAAGTTTTAAACTTTTTTAGTTATTGATTGTTTTAGTAATATATCAAACATTGGGGTTAAAGATATTAAAATTAAGAATAAAAAAAAAATTAATATTTAAGAATGAGACATTAATAAATTATAATATACCTACTAATCCGTATTATTTCCGCTTTTTGGGTACACGTCCGTAGTAGTGTTGGACATTTTCGGTTGTCCAAATCTCCATCCTCTTGATTTTTATCAATCTTTGAAGTTATCCACTTCGATAGAATCATAAAAATCTTTTAGAGTGTCATCTTCTTGGGCTTCCTGGTTGTGGGCTAGACCAACCTTAGAAGATCAATAGTTCCTTCCATTAAGGCCTGCTTTGGTAGATGGGCTAAATCGAACCCTTCTAGTAGCATTCTCAACTGGGCCTGATTATACTGAAAGATATTTACGGTTTATTCTCACACAACAAAATATATTGTCCTAAGGGGGCGTTGTTTCAGGAATATAGATTACTGGAATATTGGATTACTGGAAAGATAGATTACCTTGGAAGATACTCTGGAATCTTTAAGAAAATATGTTTGGTTATTTGGTGGGTATGTTAATTAATATGTTTGGTTATGGGAATAAATTGTGGGTATGTTATTTAAATTACTAAATTGACCCTATTTTAAATATTAATATAATTTATTTTTATTATTAATTTTTGAATGATTTTTTAACCCCCAATATTTCAGATTTAGCTAAAACACCCCCGCTTATAAAAAACTTTAATTCATGACGAAATCACCCCCACCTCCTGCGCCGCCTGCCCGCACCGCACAATTCCGGAAAATCGCCGGAGCCCCTAAAAAGAAGGAAATTCTGTGGGAGGCTTTGAAAGGCTTCGTTATGGCCGTTTCCAGCCATATTGATGGCCGAAAACGGCCATATCAGGCCAGATCGGGGATTTGGCCATTAACCCAGATCCCTGGCCATTTTCGGCCAAGTCTGGACCAGACCTGGCCGTTAACGGCCATGGACCTGGCCGAAATGCCAGAATAGATCTGGCCATTTCCGCCCAGATCTGGCCCGATATGGCCGTTTTCGGCCATCAATATGGCCAAAAATGGCTATCGAACCTCCCACATAATTTCCAGTGTTTTTAGGGACTCCGTAATTTTTCGGCGTGTGTCCTGGTGGTTGACCCGCTGTCGGCGGTGGTGGCTGGGTGGCTTGGGTGGTGGTGGCTTGGTGGCAGTGTGGTCTGTAAATTATTTAAATATAAGGGCATTATTGTCTAAAATTTTATTAACAAGGGTAAAATTGAAATAGATATTAATGTAAATTTGTTTTAAAATAGGGTATTATTGTCCAAAATTTTTATTAATAGGGATAAAATTGTAACAAAAAAAGATACCCATAGTAAGCGCGAAAACCTAAGAAAATGGAGGTAATCAGATTACCTCTTATATTACCAATAGTAACCACTATTGGTATTTGAAGATTACTGGTATCTTATATTACTTGACAACCAAACGTGGTAATCAAGTAATATAAGATGACATTACCCCACTAATACCACTTAACCCCGAACCAAACTACCCCTAAATATTCCTATTAATATAACATTCTCCATATTCTAATACCAGGTTACTAAACCAAACCTGCCCTAGTTGTGTACATGTATGATAATTACACATTGATTGTCGACATGGATGATAATTACCAGTCTTCTTTTATTTGGTAGCGGGAAGCCATCGCTTTGAGCTATCACTACTTTACTCTCTGCTTGTTTTCAAAGGGAAAGCTCCGAAATGGGTTGGTGGGAAAGTTGTGATGGAACCCGTCTTCTCATTGCTCCAGGTATTTGTTTTCTTTACTTATTACCTTCGTCATTTTCGTTCTTTCGTTCTTTTATTTTAATTATTTATTTTATCATTACAGATTCCGATGCTACTGGAAGCAAAGGACGTTTACTATCTCTACGCCATCCCAAATCAGGTAATTTCTTGAGTATTCTTTTTTTTTTTATTTGTTTTAATTTTTTTAGGGTTCATTGTTACCTTCTTTTGATATATTATGCTTGTCATGCCTTCGTTTAATTTAAATTGTCTATCTGTGGTATACAATTTGAATTATTTATTTATTTTTTAGTTTTTGGAAACAAGTTATACAAGAAAATCTTATGAAAACGCATTAAGTGGAATTAGTGTCAAATGTTATCCATAATAGTTTTTGAATATAAGATTTAGATATATTTTTGCTTTCATATTTAAATAAAATTTTTGGTTTTTGGAAATAAATGATACAAGAATTTTTATAAAAATTTTTTTGGATGAAATGAGTTGAAATGTTTTTCTGAACAGTATTTGTATACAATCCGAGAAACTAGTGTAAAAGTTGAAAACCTAGGAAAGGTCGGTTTCTCAGTTTATTAAACACATTTTCAGATATTAACAATATTGAAATACAACTCAAATTTTGTGGATTATTTCTTTGTTTGTCAACTTATTTCTTTGTTTGTCATCTTTCATTTATGTTTCACAATCCTTCTCAAACAGCATGGGTAGGTTCCTAGCGATTAATGTTACATGCATTCATGTTGTAGTTCTTATCTTGTTCTCTTTTTAAGCACAATCTTATAAAGACCATCATTTTTAAATGCTATGCACAAACAGCTCTCATTTTGCATATTCTAAAACGTTCAATCTTTTTGCAGGAAACACAACATGCTATATTTTTATCAACGGGGTGCTTCTAGAACTTAATTGGTTTAAGCAGTCATACAGGTCTTGGTTTCTCGGTGATTACGTTTGTGAAGGTAGTTGACATATTCTAATGGCTATAGAAAGTGTAATATTTGATTCAGTATAGTCAATTACATTTTCATGTTCCTGAGATAGAGTTACCATACAAGTTTACCTGTTGTGCCATTTTACTATTCTACATTGTGTGTATGTTTGTATGTGCATTATGGTTAGGAATATTGCCACAAGATAGCATAGAAGGATGACATGCTAATCTAACTCAATTTAACGAACACAATTTAACTTTCCTGCTCCAAGGTTGGTATTACCAACTAGGCTATTGTCTTTGTGACGGTTGACAGGTATTGATAATTGTGTAATAAGTAGTTGGATAATTTACTGATTCCATTAGCTTCTACCTACTAAGGACCTAAGTTATGAACATGTTCCCCCATAATCTTGTTCTGTTGACTACTTTCTCATGTTATGTTATTTGACTTTAAGTGTTATTAGTCATGCTTGAAAGTGTTATGTCACTGTATGACGTGTCAAAGTAGCTGTCTTGCTCCTCCCTGTTATATTTAATTTTTTAACTCTCAATCAGTGTTGTTGGTGTTGAACCCAAGTAGTTAATTATTCGCTTAACCTTTTGCTGAGAGGATTTTTTTTTTTTTTTTTTTTTTTTTTTTTTTTTTTTTTTTTTTTTTTTTTTTTAATTTTTGCTATCAAAATTATGGCAGTTGGTTTTATTTACTTTCAGTTTGTTACCTCTTATTGTTTTTCTTATTCCTCACTTATCTTCATGCAGATGGGCGTGTATCTACTGCTACTCCAGTTGATCCTGTATTCCTAATGTTGCCCCTTTTTGAAGAAGCTAGAATGAAGGTACAATCATCTCTTGCCTTTGTGATCTTAATTGTCACTTGGTATCAGTAACATCCATTTTAGACATTTGCTTTAAATATTTTGGTGGAAGAACTTTGTATGCACAGCTAGAAGGATCTATCCCTCAGCAATATGGGTTCTTTATTTATTCATTCATAAATAATATCTGCTTCATTCTTTGTCAATCTTTTCTTTAGTTATTTTTTCTCAATAATAATTGTATACCTTTGAGTGGATGCAGAAGGGGGATGATCCTGGGAAATTCAGGCTATTAGAAGAGATAATTTTTGTTAATGGCTACCCTGGATATCAATATTTGCTACCTGTTGCTGAGAATTGTATGCGTGTTGTCTGTGAAACCAAAGGTTGCTTACTACCTATGTTCTCCTATTACAAACAGTACCTAATACCACACTAAAACATGTTAAGTAAAGTATATAATTCCATGATAATATAAAAAAAATTTCTAGTACCCGCAACTGGTTTCATTGGAGAATTTTGTTCTTTGGTTAAAATATATGAAATAAAGCTTATTATCTCTTGGAAACTTTAATAAGGAATCCATAATTTGGCATTCTATTTTGTACCTCTGGTATGTAGTTCGGAGGTTTGCACCTAATTTGAAATTATACTTGACTTGGAATATATTCTATAGACTGGAAGTTCAAAATGTTCTAGGAGACAATAGGAGATACACTTGCTTGTATCTTGATCTTTGGAGAGTTTAAGCAGTTTAAATATTGATATTGACTCAAAGATAATTTCCTCTTTGCGAGGCTTCACAGTTGATGGTGTGATGCCTGATACCATCAAAATGTTCCAGTATATTTTATGAATGTATATTAAGGTCATATATATGGTTTAATACAGCAAAATGAAGATAACATATTCTTATTTAGTAGTATCTTTTTAAAAATACACTCTTTTCTTCCTTTTGGGACTGTGCAGAAATTGGATCATCGAGATTCTTTAGGCTTGCCGATTCTAAGGTTTTAGCTTGGTTATCCTTCAAGGTCTGTTCTCTTCTGTTTAAGCTATACCTTAATCCATTAGGATGCATGACATTGTGAATAACCATTTTGCTGGATTTTATTGTAAAACAACCAAATTCTATTTGTGCACCAAAGCTGTATTTGTGGCATGAAAGATTTGGTTTTGTGATGACATGGATCTCCTTAGATCTCTCTTAAGCTCTCATCAATTATCTTATTGAAATTTGACAGTCTTTTTGGCCATTTTGCACACATATCGTTATTATCTGTTAATTTTGTGCCCTTCTTTTTCCCATCTAGTTTTTATGCAGATTTAGTGATTTCCTTGTATGAACCAGAACCTTATAACATCTTATAATATCTTATACATTTGTAAGATAGAGATCTTCTAACTCTGTTATTTTTGGGCCTCTGGGATTTCAGGTATGCAAACTGAAAGGGACTCTTCCAGTGTTAGACCAGAACTATGCTGCTCGAGATGAGAAGGATACATGTATGGCTTTAACAAAACATTTTATTGCCTTATTTTGGTTAATTGATTTTAATGTTGAAATAAGCATAGTGGTGAACTTAAGGTGATAATTGTCCGTGAACTTATTGGCTGAAAGGAATCATTTGCATGATAGCATGCATGTATGAACTGATATCTATAGTTTTGAGTTGTCCTACTTGATGACAAGTTAATCAAAACTCATAATTCGAACCTTAAAGTAATAATTGTTGATTTAATCTAAACAACTTGTAGACAAAGGGAAACCAAAAATGAGAAAATATATCTTTTCTTGAATATGGTGTGACTTAAGATCACACTGAGAAGCCAAAATTCTGAGCTAACAATAACATATGTTAATAAATAAAGTTGGTTCATGAAGCTGATTGTTTATGTTATTGTACTTAAGCAAGATTAGCACATAACAATGTCCTGGTAGACTGTTTTTTGTATTTTGTCATTTTGGTTGCGAGATATAGAAGGCCAATAAGTTGTTTTGATCTCATTGTCTATCCATCAGCTTAAAAGGTGACCTTTCTTAATAGCCATATAAGTGTCTACGAACAATGGCTACTCACTAGGTAAAATATGGAATGAAAAGTTCAGTAAGTTATTTGGCTTAGATATACTTTATTAAAGAAAAAGTTCACTTTTGTTTTAGTAGTAAACTACCCTTAAATCATTGTCACAGATGTCAAACGTTTCACACAATGGATTCATAAATATAGTTACCACTAAAATGGCCATTTATTTGGAGACTGTTGCCGCACAGAGTTTTAAGATAGAAATTTCCATGTAATTGTAGTTTTGGAGATAAGAGATTCTATCTAGTTGTATTCAGGGGTCCAATATTAAAGAACAATATATATCTCTCTGATCTATGTCCTCTGTTATCCTTCAAATTGTTATCTGTCTCTCAACTATTCCACCACTTTGTGTCAGAGATCAGGTTTGGTCTCCAAGTATGATTAAGTCCACTATATCTTTGATCATACAGTTATGTATGGGTGTCTATGATGTATGTGTGTTTGTGCATGCATTGAACTGATCTGGGAAGAGCTATTTTTATGGCGTAGATGCTTGATGGTAATGCTAGTTTATATGTTCAATAAGCATCTTGATTGCATTGATGTTGCTTGTAAAAAGAGTTGCAGATTTAATATCATGAATGATTGAATGTTTTCCTCTTAATTTATTGCTGTCTTTTGATAATATTACAGTAGCCGATGCAGTTTCAATAATCGGGGAGTACATGAAAGATGAACCTTGGTTGAAGCTTTTGTGTGACAATTTGAAGTATCACGTCTAATTCCTTAGCTCTTTTCCCTTCAGAATGAAATCATGCCTAGTCCTATAAACCTAGGAAGGATCCCAAATTCAACAACTTTGGAATGCTTTCTTATCAACTGTAGTAACAGTGTCATGAAATGTGTTTGCAGTTTAAATTTTCCAGTGGAAAGTATAAAATCACAAGAGATAGAAGTTCTTCCTAATTCAGTGGATACTGACCTTAAGTCTTCCAATCTCTTACAGGTACCTAAGGTTTCCTTGTATTGAAAATCTTACTTTAATATCGAATTATTACTAAGATTTGTTCTGTTATAATTTACCCATTACAACCTTGATTTTTGTTCAGATTAAAATCATACTTGGAGAGAATCTTAGTTCTATATATTTGGGTAGCATCCACTTGGCACGAGAAGTTATACATAAATTGTTGCTTCTCTTTACTTGTTGCTCATTTATCTATTTACGTGTTATAATTTACCAGGACAAGAACAAAAGCGAGAAGTCCAAAACTGGAAAGCAAGCCAAAAAGGCGAAAGTGGAGACTGAATCAAGGAACATCAAAGACATGTTTTCGAGGGCATCAAGAAGGGGAAGTTGAATGTCTCTATTGAAGAAGTGGAGCTGTATCCACACATTCTCGATGCTCTGGCTGCTTCAACATGGACATCTATATAAGCAATTCTCTCATTTGTGCATTTCAAGAGATTGTATATCCAAAAACACCTTGAGCCCATTTCAAGAGCTGTATCCACACATTCTCAATGCTCTGTCTAGTTATGAATGAGGTTCATCCAGTGGCGAAAACATGAGGTAGAATTTATTATGCTAACATGAATTTTAGGTATATGATTCGGTTCAAGGGAAAACCTAAAATTTGACCAAGTGTTTGTACTCACGTAGAATTAGAATAGAAGTTTCCTTTGGGGCATGCTTAACTTTAGATCTACCAAGTCATGATTCTTTTTGTCTAAACATTACTTCAGTCCTTATAAGAGATGTTCGTTCTTAAGGGTTTGTTAAAAAAGTTTGATTGTATTTTCCCCTTATGCTTATTATGGGAGGTAAGATATTTATTGTGTCTCTGTGATCAGCTTTAGTTTGTTTATTTTTCTCTTAGATAGCCTTTTATATTGTCAAGGTTGCCTTGAGAGGGATTTGCCATGAACTTTCACATATGGATCTTTTACCTAATGATACGTGTTATGACAAATTAAACCTAAAAATTTTAATTTGTGACATGCTAGTGTTCTAATTATGATTTTATATAAATTATGACATAATTTTTAGACCATTAGATCTAACCACTTTGAACGGTTGAGATTTAATGCAACTTGTATATTTAATGTATTTGAAAATGACATAATATAAATTCAATCTCAACCCTTCAAATATTTCAATCTAATTGAACTGTGACAAACTGACAATGTGTACAGAGTTATTTGCTAACATGTTGTAGAGTGCATGCGATTTTGCTTTCGTGAAAAACGGTAATGTTTTATAATGGAATATTAAGTATTGTTATAATATATTAATATGTTAAATGCAATGTTTTAAAAACCGACATGGGGTAAAACCCGGCAAGATGGTTGGATCCCGGGTTGATCGGTTGAACCAGTTCAACTGGCTGGTTCAATTGGTGATGTCAGCATGTTAATGTCAGCAAAATTAATGTTCACAGAGTCTAGAATTCTAGAAATCAGGATCCAAATCACAAATTCCGGAATAAAAAGTTTTTAACAAGACATTATCAAACATCATTACATCAATATAATCTCTATTACAACTAATTACAAATCAAAATAACAAAATTAAGGAAGAAATCACATAATAATTGATCAACATTCTAGTAAAAAATGATCTTCACCAAATGGTCTTCAATCCATCATTCCATCCTCAATTGAATCTTCACAGTTCACACATCATCTGACAAATGATCATCATCATTATTAACATCGGCAACATCATCTACAAAAAGTTCCAACAAAAAAGAAAATCATAAGTTAAATCTTCCCATTTAACCTAACTGAATTTAAACTAGTTACTACTAAATTCAAGTTGCTTAAAAAATTGGAAACAACCTTCTGTAGCATCTGTTGAGTCATAATAAGAAGGGTGATCACCACCATCTACAAGAATAGCTCCTTCTCCATATAATGGTTGTTCCAGTTCATCATAATTAAGTTTACCAACCTCCTCTTCTCATCAACTATCCAACATTCAGTTTTATCAAGACTTTTAAAATCAATAGGATCATAAGTAATTTTCTTATAACAACTCCTGAAAGACCAGGATTAAATGTTAAAATCATAACCATTAAAGCAATTAAAATAAAATAAGTGATAATAATTAATAAGAAAAATGATGAAAGCTTTATACCTATTTTGCAAATGCAAGTTATAATAAGTGAAAACCAGATCATTCAACTGTGGATGCTCTAATCTATTCCTCTTTTTAGTATTTATGCGTTCAAAAAGGCTCCAGTTTCTCTCACATGTCGAAGAGACAGAAGTTTGACTTAGAATTTTGATTACAAACTTTAGCAAATTTGGAGCACTAAACCCAAATGTCCTCCACCATTCATCTAATTGAGAATAAAAGTATAAAACATAAGAAATAAACACAATTTCATAATTGAAAAGTTAGACTTAAAAAGTTAATAACTATTACATACCAGGACGTGTAGTTTTGAAAATTTGAAGACCAAGCTCACAAGAAAAGCTTTCTAGATGATCTTAATATAATCTACTCTCCTCCAGTAACGTTGTCTTGCTCCTTTTAAATGCACTTGCTTTACTATTAATAGTGTCAAGAAAACATACATGACATCTAGTATTTTTGGAAAAAATATATTCGTATATTTAAAAGCAGGATTCAAATAATATGCTACTGCATGAATATCACGGCGCAACATCTTCAACGTATCTTATAATTGTTGTATAAGGTTGCACAATTTTTTTTTATTCTTAAACAACTTCTTGATCCCCATCCTCGTTCTATACATGCAATCATACACATATCCTATTGAAGGTCTCTCATATGAGTCTATAATTTGAAGCATAGCATCAATGGACTCACAACTTTTGAAATTATACCAATGTCATCCTAGAATCGGTTATCTAGAAGTATGGAAATAAATGCTTTGCCTTTATTAGTTTTTGTATATTGAGACTCCACAAAATCTCTATTTGTCACCGTAGACTGCAAGTCATGTTTGTGCTGATGTAGGTTGCTCAATGCAATGAAAGTTGTGGCAAAACAAGTTACGCCTAGGCGTACAATTTCTGTCCAACCTTATTCAAGTAATAGACAGTAGATGTTAGTACTTAGTAAATTACTAAAAAAATGTATATGTATAATATGACTTGACAATGTAAATTATAAAAATAAGAGGTAAAGGTATATAACTTGTTTTTTCCTCAACAAAGCTAGCACAAACGAATGATTATACACAAACTTTGTAACCTAGATGCAGTCTAGAAAGTTAACTATGTGATTCATCCCGCTATGTATTTTAACATCAAATTAATGCAATGGTGCTTCACAGGAGCGAAAGTAATACTGCTATATTTTTCACACAACAATATTCTAGTAGCTTATAATTGCTCCATGTCAGTGACAAGATGGACAATATTGTTGGTCCAACCATAAAGCCATTTCCTCAAACAAGCTGAACAATGTTCCATTCCATCATCCTTTAAACATTTGAAGCATCCACTGATTTCACAAAACACACTCCTTTAGGACAATACACTAGAAAATTAATCAGCGACCTATGTGAATTATCTGTCCAACCATCAGCCATTAAAGTACATCCAAACATCCTCCCAAGTTTTTACGCAGTAATATTTACCTTCCTCCATCTTTTTTAGCTTTAACTTGAATTTATTCCACTTTTCCTATGAGCTAGCCAACAATCCCTAGGGGATTGAAAATCACTGCATACATTACGAGTATAGTTCTCGAAGAGGTCAGTATTCCTGAGATCCTTTCTTCCCAAGTTGCCATCATCTTCTTGCTTATGTTCTCAGGTACATAGCTTTAAGTAATAATGAAGCCTCTCTTTTGGGATTACCTTACAGGCAAAGCAACCCTCAATTGGTCCACCTGACTCCCTTTTTACAATAGGTTAATAATATTCATATAGATGAACTCGTTAAGGATTGAAAGTGGAGCTCCCATGTCACGAATGACGCTGCTATAAATCAATGGTATCAAATCGCTATATTGAGCTGTTGTTATAAAGTTGTCGGGTACTTGTGTATATAGGTGCATCTACAGAAGCATATCTTTTACAACACATAAGGGTCTGAAAGAGAAGAGGAAGCATAAGGGTAAGTGGTCCAATACCAAGCCACCACCAGATACTCAATCCAGATCCTTAAAAAAAAAGGGATAATACCTCTTCTATTGACTAGTTTTCTGGTTAGCCAGCCGTAAGAAAGATCTGTTCTATCCTCTCTTACTTGGCGACTAAGTTGGCAATACCCTTCTCCAGTTACTAAAAGGGCGGCTTTCGGCTTTCTGACTACTACCGGTAAGAAAGATTGTTCTATCCTCTCTTACTTGGCTAAAGTTGGCAATACCCTTCTCAAGTTACTAAAAGGGTGGCTTTCAGCTTTCTGACTACGGTATACTGGCTGGCAGACTAATATAACTAAAGACCTTTCTTTCCTTCTTACTTGACTCTATAGAGGGAATATAACCTAAAAGAAGGGGTTTAATTCCGTTTCTCTCCCTTCGACTTTAGTTAGCCTTCGGGGCTTGTTTACCTGAGGCTTCTTGAATGATATTTCCTGTGTATGAGTTGCAGTTGTCGCAACAGCTGTCCTATCGCACCTTAACTTAGGTAAATAAGGTTGTCGCAAATTAGTTGTTGCACAGAGTCCTATCGCAACTGGCAAGTAAGCACCACTCGCAAGCTGTATTACCAAATGGTTTTGACCTGCAACCACTAGCGAAAAGAGAATCTGTCGCAATAAGAATAACTTCTACTGGGTATTGGAGCACTAGGACTCCTGTATTCAGGTGTAAGGTGATGCCTTCATATCGGTCACGCTCCCTGACTTCCCTTTTTTTGTAGAAGGACAGGCATTTCTAATCTTTTTTCTCTGCCATAAAGAAGGACTTGAATGTAGTGTAGTTTAGGTAGAGTATCTAATTAAATATTCCTACTTTTAACGAAGGATAATTATATTTTTCTTAGGGGGTACAGGCAAGACATCATCCATTACAGTTACAGCCTGCTTGGGAACAGCTGCAAGATATCGCTCTCCTCTTTAGAAGCCCTTCATTATGTGATTCTAGATGGGCACTAAGGCGTGGTGCATTCCCCTGGCTCGTACCAAAAAAACTGAAGATCAAAACTTCTATTGGGCTAGTGCGTTAGGGCAATTTCAACATAGAATTATTCTGCCAGGCGCATCTTCAAATTTCCTTTACCCTGCTGCGATCTTACGGGGCGAAGATCTCATTTACACTAGGTCCTGCCATCCCCTTGACTTATCACGATGGTACGTTAATTCCAAAGAATGAGGTCTTTCAATCAACCTGACTTGAATCTTGAGGAGATAGTAAACCCGAAGTTCTTGGCATATGTTATATTTTGAGATTGATTGAAACTCTTGTTAGTTTGCCTTTTCACCTTTTCCAGCCACGGGCTCTTTTCACTGAGAAAGTAGTAAGAAGGAAGCCCTTTTCTCTTTGCGCAGGATGACTTCTTGTATTGGTTTTCTCTTTGCACGGGATTGACTTCTTGTATTGGTTCTGATGAACTATTGCGCTCACGAAGTGAAGACATGTGCGTGTTGTCTTGGACGCTAGAGCAAGGAGTGTTTTTTCATACTGAGCAAGAAGAGGCTTATAGTCTTTCCTATCCGATGGTTAAAGCGATGAGAAATTCTAATCCACGGCGCCGAAGGAGACTCCGAAAGAAAGAGAGAATTCCTTTCGCCTTTCGCACAAGAGCAGGCAAAGAAGAAGTGAAGGTATACTTTCGCCATTGATAAGAGAAAGGGGAAAAAGCTAGCCAACGTCTTTGTCTTAGGCGGATTGGCTTCCTCCATTTTCTTCTCAATTCGAGACAAGGA